TGTGCAAGACATGGTTCCCATCCAGTCTGGCAGCACGACTCATCTCTATAGTGTTCAGTGTCTGGTCTGAGAAAACACACCTCCTTCGCCGAGGTCGGACACCAAGGCACTCCTCGGCAGCTGACAGAGTTCCTCGCTTAAAGGTATCCCACAGTTCAGCAGGGTCCTGTAGAGTACCAAGCACTTCAAACCGATTTGAGACTGCCATTGCATACTCCTGAGCCACCTCCTCACTCTTGAGCCTCTCGAGATGGAACACCTGCTGGTGAGATCTCGGGATGCATCTAGATCTGAGTGTTGCGACAACAAGTCTGTGGTCGGTAGCAAAGAACTCAGCACTCCTAAAAACTCTACAGTTCTGAAGGATCCTCCAGCGAGTATCCACGAGAATATGGTCGATCTCTTTAGCTACAACGCCAGTATTGGAGTACCAAGTCCAGCGGTGTAGATCTCGTCTCTGGTACCACGAGCCCGCAATCCTCAGCCTCCTAGATCTTGCGAAGTCTAAGAGGTATGAGCTATTGATGTTCCTAGTACCAGAGCCATAGGGACCGATGCATAGCTCGTATCCTTCCCTGTCAGTGCCAGTGACTGCATTGAAGTCCCCCAAGACCATGAGAGTGTCCCCCCGGGGACATTGATCCACTATAGAGTCAAGTTTGGCGTAAAACATCTCTTTCTCTTCATGCCCACTTCCCTCAGTAGGAGCGTAAACTGCAATTAGAGATATGAAGCCCAAAGTGTGCTTCATTCTCACAAGCAGAATACGCTCGTCAACAGGGGTAACCTTCTTGACTGAGGAACGGAAGCGGTCAGAGACAGCCACCGCGACTCCCCTAAGGCGCGCACCATTGCTACAGCCAGACCAGTAGTAGGTATAACCCCCACTACTGGTCTCACCACTACCAGGCCGTCGCACCTCAGAGAGAGCAGCGATGGCAATCCCCAGCCTCCCAGCTCCCCCGACAACAAAGGCAGTCGATCATCCTCCGAGAGACTGAGGATGTTCCAGGCCGCTACACGGCACGCTCGCCGCAGATTGACCCCATTTGTGGGGCTCCGGCCGGGCGACGCCTCGGCACAACCAGGCATGCCTCCCAAGGAGGAAGAGTGGGGGCCGGGGGGGCCATCCCCCCCACCACGTAACCTCAGGGTGCAGGATTCCCTGGGAGGGCTTTGCCCTACACCCGTCATAACAGGCTCGTCGACCTGATCAGGTAAGCCCCTGGTCAGGACGCCGAGCCAGGGATCAGGAACCCCCGGCCGCAAATCGGGGTTGGAGTCACCTCCGGGATGGCTCCGACCCCTTCTCTCCTTACTTGGTTTGCCTGCTGGTAAGGGTTTTTACGGGACCGGGTTGCCAGCCCGACCCCAACTGCTAGCTAGGGGCAGGGAAGCAGAACTCCCTGGGGACAGATTGCCCCTGCTACCCCCCCCCCACACACACAAACATATATATATATATATACATATATACACATATGTATATGTATGTATATATGTACATATGTATATATATAACATATATATAGATTAGTGTGCCCCCACTTCCTCTTCCCCTTCTGACATAGGCATCCTGAGAGTACTGTGTTGACTGCGTGTCTTTTCGGCCGGCCGCTCCAGCTCCAGTTCGCGAGTTGAGGCCCAGCGGTGAGGTCGGAGCTCCGTGGCTGGCCGGGGACTCGCCTTCCATGCTGTATGCGGTAAGTGTGTTGTGGAGTTCGGGTGTGAAATTGAAGTGTAAAGTTGAAGAGTGTGTCAGTGTGTTTTGGCAAATACCGACAGACGCCAGTATATATGTATGTGTTTGATGCGTTTGTACATCGACGTGAAACGAGAGTATGTATCTGGTTGAATGTTTCGACGTCGCATCGCATGTTGCGTTGAGTGGATCACTAAAAATTACTGTTGAATTTTGTTTGTGGTAAAATCACAAGTTATCACACACGAAAATGTACACCAAGAACGAAGGTGAAGAAATGAGGAATAAGAGAAGAGAGGGTTAAAATTATTTCTTTTATCTTGAAAGAAGAGAGGGAGTACAGAGAAAAAAGAGAATTAAAATGTGACTTTAGACGAAAAAAACTAGATTATTTCTTTCTTTTTCATATCAATAAACGTCCTCAATTTCATCTTAATGAGTATCTGCCATAGGAATAAATAACATGAATAACTACAAAGAAAGGGGGGCGGGTAGCATTGGAATAATAAGAAGTGGCTACGAGGATAGGACCGGATGTGTGTAGATAACTTTTATCGGCAACACATACACGTGTGTATATAAAACCAAATATTTGTATACATCGTTTTCCATAGCTGACTCTGTGTATAACGGGTTGTAAGCATATGCAGTGTATGAAGTTCAGGTTTGTTAGATGCTATATATATATATATAAACATACTTAAATATACATATACATATATACAAGAAAATCGCCTCTGAACATAGTATATATATGTATATATAAATACATAAATACATATATATACATATATATGTATATATACATACATATAAAGGTATATGTACATACATATGTATATATATACATAAATATTTGTATATATATACACATATGTGTGTGTGAGTACATACATAAACATATATATAAATATATATATATATATATATGTTCCTAAATATATGCATGTATATATACATACATATACATATATATATTTATATGAATATATGCAAAAGGATATATATGTCTATCTATCTATCTATCTATATATATCTAGTATTTGCATAGTGGGTTTTTCTACTATAGTATCAACACGGTGTTTTACCATTCATATAAGGAAATATACATACCTGCATACATACATATATATACATATTTACATACACACATACAAACACGCACACACACACACATTTATATATATATATGTATATATATATTTATATACACACACACGTATATATACACACACGCACAAAAACACATATAAATGTACATATGTATATATTGTAGATAGGCCGATTTGCAGAATTGATGCAGAACGTCAGCAGCGGGGAAGGAGCGGAAGGCGACTTCTGTTTTCTTCACAATATATTCGTGAGAGAACTCCAGTTAATGGGCAAAGGTTCGCCCGTTGATGTGGCTCTCAGGCGACGTCTTCTATATAGGGTAATTAATGTACTTAGATTAAACAAGGCAGCGGTGGAGCGAAAGAGACCACGTGGATCTGAAGTGACGGTCGAAATCTGGTGCTGGCTTGGGCGCTGGTGTCGACCGGATGCTGATCTAGCCTGGCGTGGCTCATTATGTTTGTGAAGACACGTGAGGGTTCATCATGGATGCATATGCAATGCTGAATGTGTAAATTGTAAATAGTGTAATATGTGTGATTACCATGGACCGTGTGAATAAGCTCTACTAAAGTAATACTAAGGTAATACATAGATACAGGTATGTGTACCTGCCACAAAAAAAATACAGTTTGCAGACAATACTACGTTGAGTATCTAAGGAACTATGAGAGGCATCCCTGGCACACAGACAATCACGCGCGCGCGCGTACATACATACACATACAATATATATTTATACATATACAAACACATAGATATGCATATACATATGTATGTATATATATATTTATACGTACATATACATGCATATGCATCTATGTGTATATATGTATATGCATATATGTACATATATATGCATACAGACATGCATATATATATATATATATATATATATATATATATATACATATATATAAATATATATATATTTATATATATATAATATACACACATACACACACACATATATATATTTAAAAATATGTATATACAATAATCAAATATTTATATGT